ACTCAAATTTTAGTTTTGACTGGGCAAAACTTAAATTTAATATTATAATTTGAGTTTTGCCTGAATATAATTATATTATTTATAAATTAAATTTTGACATCATCTAAGAATGTTCCTGACTTCAGTCAGGTGACAGTCTGCTATTACGTGTTTCAAAGGGAGGAGAAGAGACTGATAGGTCATTTTCCAAAAACCAAGTACAATGGAAAGTAATAGAACAACAAATAAACCTTATATTATGTATTTAATTTTCGCTTTGGTTGAAATTTAAAGTCACAGAGTGCAGTTTGTCTTTATTTTGTAGATATAAATGTCGTTGGTATGACTGAAAACGTACTTTTTTTGCTGTTATTGCAGCAGTGAACTTGACGACATGAATAAGTCATAGGTCATTGTACATAACAAGGATTATCAGTCTTTGTGATGGATAATAGTAAAGAGAGAAAACATCGACTAAATTTCTTATATTAAAAATGTCTTCTTCAATTGAAAGTATTACTATGTTTTCTGCTGTAACTACTGTCTCTACCGTTTCTCCAGATAGTACTGAAAAAGGTTTTTATGATGAGTTAGAAAAACATCTCTGCTGTTTACAGCAAAAATATCAGCAGAAATCAGTTATTAAAAAAGAAACTTATGATAATATCCTCAAAGCATTATTACTCGAAAAAGGTAAGACTTTGGATTCTGTTTCTTCAAATTTTGTTTTCTGGGCCAGGAAAAGTTTGTTTTGGTGAAATTCGCTGGAGTCGATCTTCTTTGTTGTTTGAAGACGAAAAAGCCTGTGTGTGTATGTGAATCGCTGTTCAATATTTCAAGTGAATCTCATGCGAGTGTATCGCATGGTGGGAGAGATAAAACGCTAGCTGAAGTGAACTCCCATTATTCCTGGGTACCAAGGTTTGCTGTGGAAATATTTTTAAAACTTTGTATTGCCCGTTAGGTGCGTAAACCAGTTAAACAGCCCTTTGTATCAAAGCCCATTATATCATTGGGTGTAACGGCAAGACTACAAATAGATTTGATTGACATGCGTACACGTCCAGATGCAATTTCAAGTGATGCTGCTTTCCAGTGGATTCTGAATTGTATCGATCATTTTCCAAAGTTTTCTTGGGCTTTTGCTTTAAAAAATAAATCAGCCGTTGAAGTAGCGAAATGTCTGGTTTGTTTTATGTTTTTGGTCCGCCACGTCTTCTCCATTCTGATAACGGTGGAGAGTTTGTTGCGAATGTGATTGTTGAACTAAAAGTTTTGTTTCCATCAATGTGTTTCGTTCGCGGCAGGCTACGTCATCCGCAGTCAAAGGTTGTGTCGAAAGAGCAAATGGTGTATTGACAAGTGCGTTAGGAAAATGGATGTCTGATGAGAATTCGAGTCATTGGTCTGAAGGTCTTTTGCCTGTTGTATATGGAATTAATAATACTCGGATGTCATGTGTACACCGTATGAAGTAATGTTTGGACAAAGACCTCGATCTGATCAAGAGTTTTGGAGAATCGTTAAAGATAATGACATACAGGATGAAGAACAACTCCCAACGCCTATTGAAGATAGTCTTGATCAGACGAATGTTGGAGATAGCAACACAAATTCACCAGCTATTATCGAAAACGAGCCTTATGCGTTGTATCCAGATGATCCACAGTTAGATGATGATGCTACTTCTGTTGCTGCATGTCTTCTCGGCCTTTCATTTACCTCTGTTTGCACTGTTCCTGTTCTTAATCCTTCATTTTTCATTGATAATCTCATTTCTTTTGATTCTCCACCTTCAAAAAATGTTTCACATGTTTTGTTGGCACCACCTTCTGTAATAGTTTTAGATAATTTTGTTCGTGGTTTTGATGTTCTTGATGATCTAAATTCTATTGCAGCCTGATTGAAAGAAAGTCTTTCGTTCCCGAAGGTTTTCTATCGGATAACAGATTAATATACAATATACTACAGCGATTGAGAACAGCAACGATGATTGAACAACTATCCATTTGTGAGGCATTGATTTCATTATCTTGCTTTCGGCATGACATTTTCCAATATCTCCGTCAATCACAATGTTTTGAGAATAGAGTCGTGTTCAGCCTGGTTAATAGCTATACGACTACTAGTGTTTCAAAATATTTGACTAACAAGTTTTTTTCAACTTCTGATATGGGAACGATCCCTCCAACGCTTTTAATGAGCATGTATTTGTCAGAAGTAGCTTTATACAGCTGACTTTCCACACAACTCTGAAATCGACGAAAATTCGCTATCTTAGTTGGTCGCTCATTCTTACCGTCTGCAAACTGTGTGCTTGAAGTGGCAGTAGTCGTGCGAACGATAAAACGCTTTTCTCTCATGTCTAGAAGAGCTCTCTGTTGTTTTCTTTTTAATTAAATTTTTTCAAACAGATTTGCATCAGTCATGAATAAACAGGACGATTTGAAAAGTTATTCATATGCGTCGGATTGTATAGCCAGACGCGAGCTTGCTGCGGCTGACTCTGAGCTTCTGAGCTTCAGAATCTTTTTCTGTTAAATTTTTAATTATAATATCAAATTTAGTTTTTGAATCTGGTACAATATATTTTTTTGGTATTTGTCAGCAATAATAGTTTCTTATCTTTTGTCCATGTAATTGCCATTTTACAATGATACAGTTTTACGGTTTTCGGTCCGTAACATCTTAATTTGTAAGACTCAGTACCAACGATTTCTATATAAGTTTCTGTATAATGTGGATCTATAGTAAAAAAGATAAAAAATCTGAAAAATGTTGTCCGATTTGTGCATAATGTAGGATAATTATTCTAAACGAAGACGTTTAGACTACTGCGCCAGATTTAATCTTCAAAATCTAGTGTGGTCACTTTCAAATATCTACTAATACTATTGTCCGAAGAAAAAAAGAACATCTCAGAACCAAAATTTCTAGATATACGTTAATTATTCAATAGAAAATAACGTAAAAAGATTTCTAAAACGTATAGATATAAAAGCATTCGCACCAATTCTCCTCGTAAGAGCTTTTCTAAAACAAAACACATTTTAAGTGCAATTGTTTTTATCTTTAACTGATGATACAGTTTATGCATATGTTCACAAAATTTTTGTATAGGAGAAAGGAGCGATCATAATTTCTTACCTTTATTATACACATTCCATGACATTGTTTCTAGTGTTTCGTTGCAAGGTGTTGCATTTCGTTTACTACCTAAAAGGACGATAAAAACTGTTAAAATGCATGACTAACTGTGGTTTCTTGAAATACTAAATTTGAATCAGAAAAGAGAACATATGAAATCGAACAATTGTTAGTATCATAAAACTCTTACGACAACAACAACCCGTTAGATAAAACAGAATTTGAAAGCAAATGAAACTAGATGCCAACATGCATTTTTTAGAAGTTAAAAATGATACATAAATGTCACATCTACGATCCTAGAGGTATGATATAAAAATGATATATAAATAGATCATTTTTAGATGATCATAAGGCGCGGCTAATTCAAAAGAGAAGCATGGTTTTTTTTTGCCTTAAAAGCCGATCACTCGATGCAGAGTGATGGGCTGCAATAGATCAATTATGACTGATGGAGGAATGCGACTTACGAAATTTCGCAAACAATATGATCAAAATTGTTTCGAAAGCTTCAGAGGCATAGTGCGAGTAGTCGAAAGTTATGAAAATCAATGCGATACACGAGAACTAGACATTTTGGAAGAGCGACGTCGTATTGAAAATGCTCAGAACGATTTGCAGTTGTACGCTGCGTGTTGTT